GTTGTCGTGGAAATGAGGAAGGGGGGGGACATTCCTGGGAAATGACGAGACAAGAAGCCTGAAGAATGACTTGGAAGATAGCCAATGAGAAGCAGAGAAAGGGAGGGATTGGGGGCCAAAAGGTCAGTCTTGTCCGCATCGAGTCATGATCCGGTGTCTGTGCTCAATTAAAGAAAAGATTTCCTTAAAGATTGGCAGTTTGGAAATTCATTTATTTTGAGATAGCATCGAAGTCTGACACTTATATTGCCTGGACAACTTGTTAGGCTCAAACCATATCCTAACAACCCTACCCTACTGTACCCTACCCTACCTTACCCTACCCTACCTTACTCTACCCTACCCTATCCAAATCTACCCTATCCTATCCCTTTATTGTTTTGCATGCACATAGAGAGCTTCTGCACTAGAGACAAATTCCTTATGTGTCTAATAGCACTTGGCCAAATAAAGTATTCAAATATAGTAGCCAAGGTGGAACAACTCTGGTTTAACTGCTTGTATAGAAGACTAGCATGTGCATGGTGGGTATTTAGTATATGTGAGTAGCATGAACGGAACAAATCTGAAGTGTGGCGTGAACCCCAAAAAGTTTTGCATGGGAGAGAGAGAGAGAGGGAGAGAGAGGGAGAGAGGGAGAGAGATATCATGGTATCAATTTCTGTAGCCATCCATTTGTTCCCTTTAATGCTATTCTCTTCTCTCTGCCCCCAATATGCATTAAACTTCATTAACAATACAAGATTATACGATTTACATTTTATTTCCCTAATGGATGAAAATGAAATATAACCAGGAAGAGAATGCTGGTAATTGCAGAAGAGAAGCTTTAAGCTGTAAATGTTTGCTTTAAAAGCACAAAAAGCTGAACGGATGTTTTGTTTGTTGGTTGGGTTTTATTTTATTTTTTTTTTACAAAAAAAGTGCATATAAACGTTTTATAAAGTGCAGGGGAAATAATACGGATCTAAAAAAAAAAAACACTGTCCCGGCACTGTGCTGCCGGGAAAATGTTTGGGAGGAAGACTATGTAGTATCACAGTATTACGAATATGTTTATCATATTCGGTGGGATTCAGCCGGTTCAGACTGGTTCGGTGTTAATTTTAATCTGGTTCGCCAAACCGGGAGTTGCCAGGACTGGCTGACCACGCCCACCATGCCCCTCCCCTCCCAGGAGTCTCCACGCAGCCCGTTTTGGATGCCAGGTAAGTGCAAGGTCCGTGTAGAACCTGGGAAGGGTGAAAAACAGGCCTACCGGAAGTAGCGGAAGTCCAAAAACAGGTCCATTTCCGGCCTCCGGAGGGCCTCTGGAGCCCAGGGGAGGCTGTTTTCACCCTCCCAGAGGCTCAAGGAAAGCCTCTAGAGCCTGGGGAGGGCCAAAAACAGGCCTACCGGAGGCTCAAGGAAAACCTCCGGAGTCTGAGGAGGGCGAAAACATGTCCCCCCACTGTGGTGCAGGAGGCCGAGTCAGCCACGCCCACCATGGCCACGCCCACACAGCAACCGGGCAGAGAACCAGTTGCTAAAATTTCTGAATTCCCACCCCTGATATTTATGGTAACCAACAAGCAAATACCGGGATGCATAACATCAGATGTGTCACTAGAAGGCAAACATCACAAAACTGCGTCTCGCTTATTCTGGCCATGTCATATGGGAGAATTCACGGGAAAAACATCAATTTTGTTGGGAAGAGTTAGCGGCAAAAGGAAACCAGGCCGCCAAAGAACACGGTGCTTGGATACCATCGAAGCTGACACCCGCCAGAGAACAGAACAACTCAAAGAACCCTGGTTTACAACCACAACGGAGCCCAAAATTCCTGTTGTTAAGTGAGACAGTTGCTAAGTGAGTTTTGCCCCATTTTACGACCTGTCTTGCCCCTTTTGTAAGTGAATCATTGCAGTTGATAAGCGTTGTGACCTAGGCCCAAGTAGTTATTACCAGACACAATCAGTCCTAAACAAACATATTTTATTAGAACAGCTGAGAATTACTTCATTCTCAGCTTAGTCCAAATTAATTCCAAAACAAATTCTTCAGAAAAAGTCCTTCAGCCTTATCACCAACCTTTGTCTTCTTTGGCACCCTGCCAAAGGCTTTTCTTGGCAAAGCCCCACGAATGTTCATAAACAAGAGACTCCGACAAGAAACAAATGTAGCAACATTGCTTTCCTACAAAGATCCCAAGAACCGTTGCTGCTCTTTTAAGCCTTCTGAGAGGGGCCAATCATCTCCTGGCCTTACACCCGAGTCGTCCTTTTTGCTTTAGTTACTCTTGCCTTTTGGTAGCTCTGCGCATGTATGCACTAGGAACAGGCTCCTCCTGTTCCTCTGCCTCTCTGCTATCCGCCTCTGGAGGCTCCGGAGTCCACGCATCGCTCCCAGATGGCCCTGGCCCCATCTCTGCCTCCGACGCAGAGCCCTCATCCGGGCTGTCCCCTGACTCCAGGACTGGTCCATTGTCCTCCCCAGTCTCCTCACTGTCTGACTCTGCTGCCAGCTCCACAGGCTGCTGGCGGACCACAACAATACGTTTAGTAACTCGGTGGTTTAAGAGTATCCAGCTTCCCCATGGACTTGGCTTGTGAGAAGGTCACAAAAGGAGATCGCCTTGGGACATAGCAACGGTCCTAAATATGAACCAGTTGCCAAGCATCTTAATTTGGACCGTGGGACCGTCGGGATGCTGCAATGGTCGTAATCTGTGAAAAACGGCCCTTAGTCATATTTTTCAGTGCCGTTATAAGTTTTGAATGGTTACTAAACGAACTGCTGTAGAGTGGTACAGTGGTCTAGAGGTGGAGCTCTCGTCTCACAATCAGAGTCTGTGAGTTCGATCCTAGGTAGAGGCAGGTATTTCTTTCTCTGGGCACACTGGAAAAAACTCTGCATTGGTGACAGGAAGGGCATCCGGCCAGTAAATGCTCAGCTCTATTCGTTTGCTCTGACTCTACCCCAAATTAAGGGATTCCAGAGTCGTAAAAAGAAAAAAAAGAAGCTGTAGATATACTGTATATGGTAGCATTTTAAAAAGGCAATATTGAAACCACGCATTGCTCTGAAATGCATTCCTTTGAGACTCTTGTTGTCGTTTTTATAATAAATTGTTATTATAATGTGTCACAGTTAAGTCAGTATAAAGGAGCCATATTACAACGGGGTAAATAAAGTAACAATTCTATGGTATGTTGCATCAGAATAAATGAATATTTTTCACATGCCATCATGGTAATTCTGACACCCTATCAGAAGACATGATTTATTCCTATTGCTACAATAAACAACAACAAAAAATTGGAAAGGTAATGCAACAGAATTCACTATCATGTTTACCTTACGTTAATCTATTAGATTTAATCAATTAAACTTAATTATTCTATTAGAAGGGACATGGTGGCTCACTGGCTAAGACGCTGAGCTTGTCGATCGAAAGGTGGGCAGTTCGGCGGTTCGAATCCCGAGTGCCGTGTAACGGGGTGAGCTCCCGTGACTTGTCCCAGCTTCTGCCAACCTAGCAGTTCGAAAGCAGGTAAAAAATGCAAGTAGAAAAACAGGGACCACCTTTGGTGGGAAGGGAACAGCGTTCCGTGCGCCTTTGGCGTTGAGTCATGCCGGCCACATGACCACGGACACGTCTTCGGACAGCGCTGGCTCTTCGGCTTTGAAACGGAGATGAGCACTGCCCCCTAGAGTCGGGAATGACTAGCACATAGGTGCGAGGGGAACCTTTACCTTCTTTTTATTCTATTAGAACAGTGGTGGAATTCAAACTTTTCAATACTGATTCTGTGGGCGTGGCTTGGTGGGCATGGTGTGGCTTGGTGGGCATGGCAGGGTAGGATACTGCAAAATCTCCATTCCCTCTCCACTCCTGTGGAAAGGATACTGCAAAATCTCCATTCCCTCTCCACTCCTGTGGAAAGGATACTGCAAAATCCCCATTCCCTTTCCACTCCTGTGGGAAGGATACTGCAAAATCTCCATTTCCACCCCACTCCAGGGATGGCAGGCGATGGCAAAAAGGTTACCGGTGGGCCCAATATGTTCGTTTTTCGCCCTCCCCAAGCTCCAGAGGTTTTCTTGGAACCTGGTGAGGGAGAAAACGACTGCTGGGAAGCCGGTTTCTCTTTTATTTTATTTTATTTTTTTAAAAAAGAGAGAAACAGCTTTGTAAAATTCCATTGTGCTGTACATAATTTAACAGGGATGTTTGATTCTTAAAATTGCCACTAAACTATCGCCCGCTGTCATCGCGGGAACCGTGCTTGGCGAGAGCAAAGGTAATTCCTTAATATATCTTCGGGAAAGCAGGTTTGAATTGGCGCACGCAGCGTTCAAAGCACGGGGAAAGGATTTGCAACAAACAATACATCCCCAGCAAACACGTCCTCCTTGCAGAATGCAAAATATCTGCCGGAGATAATGAGCATCGTAAAAAACCCCGAGACTCCGTGGGATGAATGAAATATCAGAAAACAAACAGATTACACCGTTACCTCAGGATTCCATCCAGCGGTTTAATATTTTGTTACCACCGGTTCGTCGTGAGTGTGCACGATCAGTTCACGCGCCCTCCGCGCATGCAGCCGGCCTCAAAAACGTGCCTAAATAGAACGGCATAGAATCGGGGCAGGTGGGCGGGCCCACCTGCAATTGTCGCTACCGGTTCACACGAACTGGCCCGAACCGGCTGAATACCACCTCTCATTCCATCAATTCATTCAAACTTGCTTGAATGCTACCTGAATCCTTTGAGTTGTGGGCTCTTCGCGAAGCACTGCTAGCAGAGGTGTGTTTTAGCAGGTTCTGACCAGTTCTCGAGAACCGTTAGCGGAAATTTTGAATAGTTCGGAGAACCGGTAGTAAAAATTCTGATTGGTTCCACCCCCGTCTATTCTCTGTCTCCCAAGTCCCAGCTGATTGGGAGGAAATGGGGGATTTTGCAGTAACCTTCCCCTGGATTGGGGTGGGAATGGAGATTTTACAGTATCTTT